ATGGTTTCCCAACCCTGACCATGCACTTTCACAGCACGTGGCACCGTCCCCTGGTCGGGGGGCCACCAGCTTCCTCCAGGCTCTTTCTACTCTGAGCTGCTCACTCACTGCCCTCAGGTGGGTTCCTACCCAGAGCCACCACCTAAGACACGGGAGAACTGCCTCTGGATTGCCGAGCCGGTCACTCTTTACTGGAGTAGGAAGCCTCATCTTTCTCCTGTGGAGCTGCTGGTGGTTTCCAACTGCTGACCTTGCGGTTAGCAGCCCAAAGCGTACCCACTACGCCATCAGAGTATTAGAATTTCCCCAAGGGCTTCCATGTTCTTCCTACCGTTCACCTTCCTGCCGGGAAGCTCTTTTCCCTGAGCCTTCAATCATCTCCCAGAAGATGATAGCATCTGCTTGGGGGTTCCAACGAGATGTTTTACTGCAGCTTTTCACAAACTGATTATAGTTAAAGCTCCCTTGGGGAGTGGGGGCTGGGAGGAAAGACGCTTCGGAGAAGACCTTTGCTGGCATGTGTGAAGAAGCACTCAGCCCTCCCAGGAGGAATGAGCCTGTTTAAATATCAGCAATCAGCATTCCCAAATGCGGGAGCAGGCAAGAGAGGGACAGGCAGGCACTGGAGTTTTCAACGTCACCTCCAAAGGGTCTTGAAAGAGTTAAACAGTTCAAAAGCAAAGGCCTGTGATTTTTCTGTCAAAAGGCCCCAGATGGAAATTACTAAATTTCATTTCCAGGCTCTGCGGTGCCAGCACAATGTTCTCCTAAAGCATTAAAAATACAAAAAGAAGAAGACGAGGGCACTGATGATGAGAAGGTCTGAAGACCCCTGACGTTCTCCAGAAAGGAACTGTAACTGTTCAGCACAAAGTGCCACCATTTCTGTGCCGCCTGGAATCTTTGCACTTACTGTCAGTCTGAGGCTTGCTGTCAAAACTCCAGGTCAGGAGAGGATAAATGACAGGGAGACAGACTTAAAAAGAAAGGGCAATTGCTGGAACTGTACGCAGATACCACCTAGATTAGCATCCCAGGTAACCTTGTCCCAAACTTCACCACCACTTCAGTGCTTGGATTCCAGGGAAAAATGCAAAGGATAGAAGCCAAAAAGGCCTCAGGTGATGAGCATGATTCTAGCTAGTCTGGGCTGTCAGGAGTTTCCAGAGATTAATGTACATGAAAGCATTTTGTAAATTGGATAAAGCTATACAAAAACAATAAGAATATTATTGCTCCCGTGTCTGATGTTGAGAGGCATGAACTTTCTGAGGAATCTGAACACCCCCAAACCAGAAACAACGATGGTTTTAAGAAGGCTGGCCCGGCACAAAACCACACTGGGGTAGGGGCTGGGGTTGCCACCTCACAAGGCCTGCAAGCGGGTGGTTTTGGAGAAAGCAAAAGCCACAGGCATGAGTGGATTCTACTAAGCCCATCTGGAGTCAATTCAAACCAGAGGAGCCTGAGGGCAATGTGAGTTAAACACTGTGATGCTAACCACAAGATCGGGGGTTCAAATCCACCAACTGCTCCTTGGGAGAAAGATGAGGTTGGCTGCTTCCATAAAGATTCAGTCATGAGAACCCTACGGAGCAAGGATTGCTATGAGTCGGAATTGAACTGATAGCAGTGGGTTGGGTTTTTTTCTATTCAAACCATACTAACTGAAAAGCAGGAACCAGGCTTCTGGTCTGTGGGTAATAAAAGAACCACAGTCAAGGAATCCCCTGTGCAAAGGACAAGTCACCTGCTCATTTTACAGAAAAGGACACTGAGGCCCAGAGGGTGTCAGTGACTGACCCATGAGACCTTCTGCTACTGCTGGCAGGACTTAAAACTGAAACTCAAGTGCCATTCCTAGACTTGTTCCCTCTCATTTAAGAGTGTGTGTATGGGAGAGGGGCTTTGTAGTAAATATGTAATGTAACCCAAGGTCAGCCCAATTGAGCCAGAAAAAAGACTCAGCAAACCGGTGAGTCAACAAACTACCTAACACTGTGCCAAACGATGAATGTGTACTACTTCATCAAACCTGCACAACCTCCTTAGAAAACAGCTATCCTTGTGTTTAGTTTGCCAAGTTGGGAAACAGAGCTTCATCTCACCGGCCTGAGGTGGCAGAGAAAGTTAATGCCGTTTGACTCTATAAGATCTGCACTTTGAACCATCAGACCTCATGGCCTTGCTGTCACAGGGGTTTTCACCTTGGCACCTGGAAGGTAAGGCTAGCAACGCCATAAGTCCTATATAACACGTCAGAAGCTGAAACCCATAATAGCCTGCTGACCAAGGACTGACTTCCAGCCAGAGCCAACCGAGAACCCAGGTCCCTCTCTTAACAATTCCTAGGAGAGCTCAAATTCTAGAACCTGCTCTGGAATGGGAGCAACATGAGGGTGGGGACTTGGTTCGTTCACTGCTATCATTGCCAAGTCCCGGACTCACACATAGGCACTCAACTGCTGCTGGACAGAGGCATGGAATCAAGCTGCATAGTTTAGCTGGGTGACCTTGGGAGGGTTTCTTATCGTTTGTAGGCCCCAGTTTTCTTTTGTGACAGAGGGTGACAGCAATGCCCACATTTCCTGGGTGGCCTGAGGATCAAACAAACTACATACAGAACCTGGGACCACAATGAGTACTCAAAATGTAATTGATAAATATTACTAATATTTATTGATTGACCAATGCTGGCTTCTCAAGGACTTTTTCTTTCTCCGTAGCCCTGCCCCCTGCACCCCTCCCCCAGGTAAAGTTTTTTTTTTTCTAGTAAAGACATAGAACTGAGAATCAGGAGGGTAAACCTGCTTCTAATTGCAAATCCCCCACCAACCTAGCTGTGTGACCTTGAACAAATCTCTTAATTTCTCGGTACTCTCCCTCAACTGTAAAAGGAGGGATTAGATTATTCAAATCCATTTCATAAGCATTTATATCGGGCACCTTCTCTAAGAAAGACATCATGCCCAGCCACCTATAAAATTCAACAATCCCAAATAGTGGCAAGGGGGCGGGGCAGGGGTGGGGATTTTTAGAGCACAGCAAGTCAGCTTCTTGCTTGTGGCAAGGTTGAAAAGATATCCCCAATAGCTCGCTGCATTACATCATCTCAATGAGCAATGTTTGTAAATACACAAAGTGTTTAATGTTGAGACACTCATGAGAAATCTTTTGCCAATAAGGCATCAGCTGATCCAGTTCTATTAATGCCTTTCAGCCCTGAACCTTCTCCCCAAAATAAATAAATAAACATGTAAAATCACTTTGCACCTTAGTCAAATGGCATGCTGCCTAGAGAAGCAGGGGAACAGTCAAAGTTCTTACTGCTCCCTATGGCAACAGTTAAAATAAGGATGTGAAAAGTGAATGACATATCTGGTTAAACCTGCAGGGGGTATTCCAGGAGCAGAATGCAGTGCATCTGGAAAGGACATGGGAGGCCAGTGGCCTATTGTTTACAAAAACAGCCATGGTTATGAACAGTGACAAGAGGCCAAGACCTCAATTATAACTCACAACCACACCTCTCCCACTCCCAGCTCAACTGAAGCTATCCATCAGTCAACTCCCCATCTCTGCAATAAACCCACCAATATTTGCAGTCAAGTGGACAGAAGGTCCCTCAGGGCACCTTCAGCATTGACCGCGCTGATTTTTTTTTTTAATCCTGCAGGCACAAGGGGGACTTCAAACTACCTTCCAAGTGCCCATTTCAAAGCCTAGCCCTACCCTGCCCCCCCCACCACACACACACACACACACACACACACACACACACACACACACCAGGCAATCTTCAGAGGGGAGACTAGAGCCTTCCCAAGTCCTCTAAGATAGAAAGGGTCTCCTTGCATTGATGCAGGGAAAGGAGGGGCCCCTCCCTCTGTCCTCTGAAACAAAGGAAAACCAAGAGCTCCAACCATGTGGTGTAACAGTCAAGGCCACCCACCTCTCCCATTCCCTAGCAGAGGTCTCAATGGACTGATGCCACATGGCTTTTTGCAATGCCTGGTCAGGAAGGGGCAGTGCCTTGCACACTTGCATGCTGGGGTCCTTGAACAAGCAGGAAGTCCTCTCCTAGGGGAACTGCTGGGTAAGCAAAGGCTACCTGGGACTGGGCTCTGGATTCCCAAGCCAAGTCTACCCAGCAACCAAATATACACATAGATCACCTGGTTTCTCCAGGTACACCTCGTGCTTTATCCTTCCCATTTTTTGCAGTGAGGCAGATAGGGCGTTCAAAGCATGTATTCTGGAGCAGTGGGGGACAACACCGAAGGGTTAAACAATCGTATCTGCCCGTCGTCCAGAATCAACGCCACCCAACAACCTTAACATATCAACTCTGTTCAGATGTGGGTGAGGGTGGGGGGCAGGGTGTGGACAGCAACCTGGTTTTTTGTTACGGTTTTCTGATGCCTGGTTGTTTACTGGGCAACCAGGGACTGGACTGAGAGGAGGTGCACCCAAGGGGGCTATGAACTTGTATCTGCTACCATAGCGAGTCTCCTATTTTCAAACAAGGAACGCACCAGGGAAAAAAAAAACCCGCCTCTCCTACCCCTTGCCAGCTTTCAAAGTCTTCTCTTCAATGTCTGAAACACAATCCTACACACCTGTCCGATTTCAGTGGTCCTTCCAGGAAACCTAAGGCTGTTATCCAGAGGCTAATTGCAGCCATTCTTTACCAATGGATCTCCGGCCCCTCCCCCCCCACCCCCCCTTCCATCCTTGGGGAAAGAGCTGCCCCCCAAACTAGGGCCAAGACAGCCCCACACAGAGGCAAACCTGAAGCCCACCCTGAAAATCCATCTCCTGTGCCACCTGGCACTGGCAGGGTGGGTCAGACCCACCTATAAAACCACCTCTGGGGTCAGCCTCTCTCTCCTCACCTGCTCCACCCACAGAAATGAACACCCTGCAAAGGAAGGTGGAAAGGCACGCCTCATGGGTCCACACAGCATAAGCATTATGCCATTATTTTTCAAAGCACTTACCTTTGACCTGAGTATCGTACTCTGCTATGATCTCCTTATCTTTTTTGAATTTGGCTGGAGACGTCATGTTTTCCTTTTTTCTTCCAAATTCGAATCTTGAATTGATAGATCCACGGGAAAAATCCAACCGCCGAAATCAATACCTCCAAGACCACTTCTCCCAAGGGCAGAAGGGGCCCCCGCGGTGGTCTCCAGCGCTCCGGCAAGCGCGGGCTGCGGGCTGAGCGGACGGCTAATGCAGGCGCATGCAGACGACGGGCGCTGGGGCGGGAGCGGCGGCGGTTCCTGTGCTAGAGCCGGAGCCGCAGCCTCAGCGTTAGCCGGGACAACTGCAGCGCCCGGAGGCTGGCCTGGGGTCTGACATCAACGACACAGGCAGGGAGTGGAAGTCCTTCCGCACAACAGCATGGTGTGGGGGTGCGGGGGTGTGGACGCGCCCAGCTGTGTCCCCGAGAGGGAGTGGATGCGTGTCGGGGAGCCGGGAGCGGGCTGGGCTTGCTTCGCGGTTTTTTGTTGTACGGTCTCGAAGATGCAGCAAATCAAATCCCAAACGGGAGCCGCCGCAGCAGCGAGGACTGGATCGGAAGTCGTTTGCTCCGGTTCACTTGCCTGTAAATGCAGGAGAGGGGGGGCGCGGGGCGGGGGGTGCGATCAGCCTGAGCTCAGATCCTAATCGCGGCGGGGGTGGGGTGGGGGACGTCGTTCGTAGAGCCCATTCAAACCCAGCCCGGCCCTCAGAACCCAGTGCCGCGAGGGAGGGAGGAAGGAAGCTCCCGATCTGGATTTTGTTTTAAGGCTAAAAACACTTTGGAGCAGCCGCCCGTGAGGGCTCCGGGCGGGGACTGCGGCGAGTACGCGGGGCTCCGGGCAGTGACTGCGGTACTTCGGCGGCCGCCTGGCCTCCAGAACCCCGTCAGCGCTGGGCAGTGGCCAGTCCCAAGGGGGCCTCCCAGCCCTGCCTCCGACGGGGTCCCTGACCCCCGACTAGGGCACCTCCCCCAACATCAAAGGGGTGGGGATCAAAGCCCGGGTGGGACGAACCACGGGGCACAACTTTTCTCCCCCTCTCGCCCCACCTCCCAGTTTTGTTTCTGGTTATT